TGTATAGGATATGATAGGGGATGTTTAGGAATTTTGTTTTTATCCTAAGAGCAATGGGAATCAGGTAAATGGCTTTAGCTAGGGCATGTTTGATCAGTTTTATTGATGGTTATGCTGTATATTTAAGAAATTAAATAATCCTGTACGTGTTTGTCTAGTTAATATCCATGAGATTCAGCTTCTCATGAGAATGTTGTCACTAGGATGATGGGGTTGCTTTTGGGGAAACACCAATTCTCTACCTTTTCATTGCTCTTTTCTAAGTTTTATGTCTTTATCAGTAGCTTAATTAACATTGGAAAGTATCTCTGCTGAAGCAGATACAGTACTTCCAGCAGCTTTCAACTTTTACTCTAAATCAGAAGCTTTAAAAATAGATAAAATTCTCAACGCTCCTTCACACTTGTTCATAAAGAGACTTGGCCTTCTTCCTTTCCACACTCCAAAGATGTACTGTTTTTTGAAGTCTGAAACTGCAGTGTTGGGTTATGATCCTTGGCTTTTTCCTGTCTGTCTTTGGGCAATGTTTTCTCATTTTTCTCTACCTAGGGGAGGTATGGAGGTAATAAAAGTTATGTTTTGGGGGACTTCCCTAGTGGTGCAGTGGTTAAGAATCCGCCTGCCAATGCAGGGGACATGGGTTCAAGCCCTGGTCCAGGAAGATCCCACATGCCGTGGAGCAACTAAGCCTGTGTACCACAACTACTGAGCCTGCGTTCTAGAGCCCATTAGCCACAACTACTGAGCCCGCATGCCACAACTACTGAAGCCTGTGCACCTAGAGCCCGTGCTCCACAACAAGAGAAGCCACCCCAATGAGAAGCCCGTGCACTGCAATGAAGAGTAGCCCCCACTTGCTGCAACTAGAGAAAGCCCATGCGCAGCAACGAAGACCCAACACAGCCAAAAATAAATAAATAAATAAATTTATTTTTAAAAGTTATGTTTTTGTATACTAAAAGTTATTTAAAGTAATTTAGCAGTTCAGTTTTAGCAAACATATCTTGGTGATAAACTCTGCTTCTTTTTACTTGGAAATATCATTATTTCACTCTCCTTGAATTGTCAGCTAAAGGATTCTAGGTTCATAGTTATTTTCTCTCAGTACCATGAAGATATTAATCTGTTTTCTTCTGATTCCACTGTTGGCATTGAGAAATCAGGCGTTGGTCCAACTATTCTTCGTTAGTGTGCATTTTTCCTTTTGCTGTTCTTAAGATCTTGTCTTTATATTTGGCATTCTTTAGTTTGACTGTTACTGGACTAGGTGTGGATTTCTCTTTATCTTGTTAGGGATTTGGTGGGCTTCCTGATTCTGAGATTTAGTTTCTTTCCACATCTCTGGAAATGCTTAGCCATTGTCTCTTCAAATATCATCTCTTCTTCATTATCTATTTTCTCCTTCTAGATCTTCAGACACGTTAGAACTTCTCATCTGCATCCTCAACGTTCTTTAATTCTTTTATTTTCTATCTCTTTGTTGCCCTGTGTTGCCTCCTGAATAATTTTATTTAGATCTATCTTCTAGTTCTCTGGTCTGTCCATTTAATTTTTAATTTTAATTAAAGTGTTTTTTCTAAACTATTTTTGGTTTCTTTTCTGATTTGCCTGGTAGATTTCTATAGTTTCTTTTTCCTTGTTCATATTTTCTAGCCTTTTATTTTTTGAAACCTATTGAATATTTCATGTATGGGTATCTCACAATTTCAGCCTCTGAAGGCTTTGAAGGTGTGTTTCTGCCTTTTGCTGTTTCTGCTAATGTTCTGTTTTTTGGTGGTGGTTGTTGTTTTCTGTGAGCTCTTGTTCCTTGGAAATTTATCTGTGGGAATTCATTGAATCCTGGTTGAAGTTGCATTCCTACAAAAGAGGATTTTTCTTTGTTTGTGCTACTTCTCTGGGGACCTAAATTCTTGGCTTGAGGGGTAGGGTTTTTTTGTTTTTGTTTTTGCGGTACGCGGGCCTCTCACTGCTGTGGCCTCTCCCGTTGTGGAGCACAGGCTCCGCACGTGCAGGCTCAGCGGCCATGGCTCATGGGCCTAGCCGCTCCGCGGCATGTGGGATCTTCCCGGACCGGGGCACAAACCTGTTGTCCCCTGCATCGGCAGGCGGACTCTCAACCACTGCGCCACCAGGGAAGCCCTATTTGTTTTTGTGGGGTTTTTTTTTTTTTTTTTTGACTGAATATTGTCTACAAATCTGTGTGAAAGCTAGCTTATGGTGATGAATTCTTGGGATAAATGTTTTCCCCTTTGCCCACTGCCATTTTCCTTTTTGACCTCTTCTGCGTGGCAGACCTAGTTCTTTTTAACTTCCATTGAAGACACAGTTCTTTGGGGCTCAGTTTTAAATGGAGCTCTTTGGCTAGATTGCCTACTTTGGGTAGGTTCAGGTCTGATCTTTTGACTTTGGTGCTCCTTGCAGCCATCAGAGTGGAATCCTCAGGTCCCTAAAGGTTTGGTAGGTAGCTTCCGGGCAGAATATGGCAGACTGTGTGCTTAATTCCTAAGGTTGCAGTTTTCATTTAGTTTTTGTCTTTTGATGATTCCTTATTTTGTTCTCAGCAGTCATTTTGTTCCCAACACAATCATTAACACAAAAATATATTAAAAATTTTAAATCCAGTTTCTTAAAGGTATTTTTATTGGGAGAGTAATTGGTCATGCTGGTGGAATTAAAGATTAAACTAATTCTTAAAAAAATTAGTATCTATCCTACTTTTTGAACAGTCTTTGACCCCTGAACATGTAAGAAATGCAGAAAAAGCACAGAAGTAGAAGATCAGAACCAATTGTACTAATATGTGTTTGTGTGTATACACACACACACACACATATATTTCTACAAGTAGGTAAGTGGGTAGGTAGGAGGGACGATAGATATACACATCTTGCTTTGAGCATTTATGTGACTTATGTGTTATTAGGACAGTTTAAATTTGGTGGTCCTCCCTAGACCTTTGTGAGTGATCACAGCATAACAAGCCTACTTAAGTGCAGAAATGGCCGTTTTGTGATATTTGAGAGAGGATTTTGAAAAACCTTAGGCAACATCCCTTAATACAGTTTGCATCCAGAACCTTTAGAGATTACTGTCATTGACAATTAGGTGAAATTGTGTCATTTGTGAATTGTGCTAAGCTCATAGAAGGTTATATTTCTGAGAGTAGTGGCTAGACACTCAGGAATAATGGGCAGACAAAAGAAGAGAAAGTTTAAAAAGAAAAAGCACTCACTGACAGCATGGAGTATCATCAGATCCACCTTTTCTTGAGTTTGGTTTGCATGGAGGAAATCTGTTGAAGGATTTTCACAGTGAGGAGTTCGTGTTTGTATGCCTGTCTGCCTTTTGAAGTAAGACATGTACATCTTTTTTAAAAAAATTAATTTATGGCTGCATTAGGTCTTCGTTGCTGCATGCGGGCTTTCTCTAGTTGTGGCGAGCGGGGGCTACTCTTCGTTGCGGTGCGCAGGCTTCTCATTGCGGTGGCTTTTCTTGTTGCAGAGCGTGGGCTCTAGGCACGCGGGCTTCAGTAGTTGGGGCATGCGGGCTTCAGTAGTTGTGGCTCACGGGCTCTAGAACGCAGGCTCAGTAGTTGTGGCACATGGGCTTCGTTGCTCCACGGCATGTGGGATCTTCCCAGACCAGGGCTTGAACCCGTGTCCCCTACATTGGCAGGTGGATTCTTAACCACTGTGCCACCAAGGAAGTCCTAAGACATGTACATCTTGATTTAGTCTCTTTATTTGAGTTAAGAATCTCTTTAAAGGACTGACAGTATATAGAAAAACACTTTCTTTTTCAGACTCATTTTATTTTCAGTTCATGGTAAGACAAAGGATGTCTGTTTCTTAGCTGTAGGTTTCTGTCAGATTACTTGGTGAGAAAGTAGATTAGGTTTTGTAACATCATCTCTACACCTTTGTCCTTCCAATGCCAGCTCCCTCCTCCCGTTTTCCCAACAAGTTTGGATTCAAATTCTGGCTTTGTCATTTAACAGGTGAGGTGACTAGTCAGTAAGCGATGTAAGCTCAGTTTTCTAATGAGTTCAATGGGGTTAATGTCAACCCTAAAGACATCATTGTGAGAATTAACACAACATGTAAAATACGTAGTGCTGAGCAGAGTAGCCATCGATCAATGTCACTTCCCTCTCAGCTTGAATTACAGAAAACTGATTCTCAATTTTTGGACATTCTAAGTGTGTTTTCTATTCATTCATTATACTTTCATTCATGTAAACTGTTTTGTGCAATGCTGATCCTGTTCCGGGAACATTTGTGAAGGATAGTTTTTCAGGGATATTGTAGAGGGATGGATGAGGTGACCTGTTGGAAACTCCCTTGGTGTATGCCAACTAGCCCCTTTATTATATATAATTAATTTTGAAAATCATCTTATTTCAGATACCATGTTATTAGGCTATTATTCTCCCGTCTTTTCATCTCATGTGTTTAGAGAAATAAAGTAGAATATGACTGCTAAGCCAATACTTATTCATTTTCTATTTGATACTCATATTGTCTTAGCTCTATATGGATATATATCTGTTTCTTCTTTTAAGGGAGAAATTCTACATTCTTTATGTGGAAAACTGTCTGTAAGCTGATCTGTTCATTAGATTTTCATATCATTTAACTTTGCAGATTCACTTGGTATATTGTATCATCACCTTGTGTTGTCATATTTTTTTATTGTACGATTAAGACAAGTACTCTAAAATAAGAAAGAGTAGGGTTATGAATCATATCTCCTAGGATTGTGTGGAATAAAGGAGATAATGTATATAATATCCTTAGCTTGAAGCTTGGAACATGTAAGTGCTCAGAGAATGCTTACTGTAAACTATTATTATATGTGTCTCTCATCTTCCAGATTTGAAATTCTTTAAGAGCAGGAACTATGTAATATATATATTTCATATATTATGGACTCAGTGTTTTACTTTATAATATATTTTTATTCTCATCATACTTTTCAATGTTTCATCTTTTGTCTTACAGTGATGAAACTAGAGGATCTGTTTGTAGATGATTCAGGTCGATATTTGGCTGTTCAGTTCCATCTGGAATGTGCATATATATTTTTATATTATTATGAATATAAAAAAGCAAAAGATCAGTTCAATATTGCTAAAGAGATCTGCAGATTACAAATTGATTTGACAGGTAAGATTTTTTTTGACGTTTTGTGGATAATTGATTTATTTTTATGATAAACTAATATATAATTGATAGTTTGGCTGTATTGTATGGTTGTATTTTATTATCTGTGTCCTCTTGTTTGCTTTACAAAAATAGATTTTATTTAAAAATTCATAGTTTTAGAACAAAGTTGAAATCATATACTTTATTCCTGTAGATGCCCATGTCTAGTTAGACATGTCAGTAGTATGTGGCAGCTGGGCAGTACACAAATGAACTTTGTGTATTTGGTTGTGCATGTGGGCTTCCCAAGGCCCCTCCTGATTCCCAAATTTAGTTTGCCCTTTCTGTTAAATACCCACCTGCGGCTTCCATCCTGCCTTTCTTGTATTTCTTAAGAACAGAAATTTTTGACTGTTTTGTTTAGATGTTTCTTCATGGCCTTAGAACACTGTCTGGCATACAGTAGGCACTCAATAAACATTTGTTGGAAGAACAAATAAATTGCAGAATTTTTCCCAAGATCTCTGTGTTTTTTTCTGAGTACCAAATAAGAAACATTATTTTCTCTTAATGTATTGCCCTGTCCCTAGTCTCACAATGTAATTGGCATTCTATATTGAAGACATTCATGAAAATCAGACATCATCAGTGGGTCACACCATTTATACCTGTTGAACCTGGGCTCTGTGAATGTTGAAACAACAATCTGTGAATGTTGAAATGATTGAAACTGCTTGTCCTGCGTAGGCTTGGTCTAGATTATCTCTAAGGCCCATTCTTAGTCCCCAAACTCTGTGCTTTTTGAGGTAGTCCTGTCAATAAAATCCTTCAGGTACATTATGAGGTAAATGTGACTTTGTGGCCTAGTCTGGCATCTTACCCACCTTTTATTACATTGTTTGTATGGGGAGAATTATTAAATATCCAACTTATAACTTTGTGACAATGGCCAGGTGTAAGTTGGAGTCTTGTTTTTGAGATATATGTAATATAAGTTGTGAGGTTAGTTTCAGAGATTTTGTTTTTAAATATTTCGGTCCTAGGAGACTTCTTTTTTTGGATTATTTAAAAAACTAGTATCATGGTACCCAGTATAGTCAGCTTTAGCTGTTGGTGTATTTACTAGCTAGTTCTTCATATTTTTTTCCAAGTTAAGGCTGAAGAACTTAAAAATACAAATGTGCTCACAAATATAAAATGAGAATCAGATTATTACTTTTTTCTTTTCAGCTCTAGCCTTACTATAAAAAAGTAAGCTGTGTTAGACCATCTCAATAGCTATTTTTAGTATAACGTGTTTAAATGGTTGTTGTATAAAGTAGAGCCAGACTCATCACAGGATAAAATCCAGACTTCTTAGACTGGTCTTTGTAATCAAGGGTCTTTGTAATCTGACTCTTGCTAGAGAATAGATGTCAGAGGTTTTGCTTCTCTTAAAGCTGTTCTGCAGCAAGTTATTTCAGATACAAAATGAAAAAAAATTTGGTCTTACGTGGAGCCAGATAGTGTAATAGAAAGACTGTGGGATTTAGAACCTGAAGACCCTGGCTTTAAGCCCTGGCTCTGATACTGAAAACCCTGTGATCTTGAGCAAATGACTGCACTTCAGAATTCCCTTTTTTCATCTGTTGTATGGAGAGGATAGTATTTCTTCTGTCTATGACACCTAATGAGTTATGTTTTTTGAGAAGGGAGGTAGTTTAGTGAAAAAGTAACTATGTGGAAACTAGTGGCAGAAATCCTGGGTTTGAGTTTTGACCTTATAACTTACTGGCTTTATAATTTTATAAAAAGTCATTTTAAAGTCATCTTTGAGCCTCAGGTTTCTCTTATTTGAAATGGAGAAAATACCTCATAAGCTCTAAAGCACTCTGAAAATACTACTCTTTAAGATTGTACTGTATGTCTGATTGACAAGTTGATACATATAATTTAGTATATATTTTTTCAGGTGCTTTGGGAAAAAGGACACGGTTCCAGGAAAATTACGTGGCCCAACTTATTCTAGATGTAAGAAGGGAAGGAGCTGTGTTTTCAAATTATGAATTCACTCCAGCACCCACTCCTCAGGAATATTTAACCAAGGTAAGTAGGATTGTAAATTATTTAAATTAGCATCCAAGTCTAACAGTTTCCATAGGTGAGTTTTGTAGAAACACTGGATGGGGTGGGAAGAGGCTTCTTTTGACCCTTCTTGAGATTTTACAAGGTGGCTGGATGTTTTAAAACAAAACAAAACAAAACAAAACAGGACCCATTTTTTAAAGCCATTTTTACCTTTAAATAGAGATAAAATGTTGTTTTTTCCCTAGACTTCAGTAAGTATGAATTAGTAATGCAGTTAGTTATGTATTACTACCCTTGAAAAAAGTCCAAAAGGCAGACTGAGTAGAGACTAATTTTTCCAGTGGCTACCATATTTTTTGCCTTCTGTTGATATTTTCAAATATTAAGAGCCTTGAAATTTCTTGGGTTTCTTCTAACTATGTAAACAGATGATCAGAATTCCTTTTTACCAGTTTTCTGGTCTGTCCTTAGTTACTACTATGTCATTACTGGGCTGGTTGCTGCCTTAGTATGTTTTCTTGACTTGGCTAATATATTCTCTTGTAGCTTAAATTTATAGCTTTTAGTCAGTTTACCTGCTCAATAGGCCTTTCCATCTGCTTCCATGGAGGCCATTAGCATTTACATTTTCTTATCCCAGAGACCCCAAACCAACATTTTTGCTTGTTCTTTGGTTGATGTTACCGTCCTTGAAGCCCATGTCTTGCTACTTTTCATTCCAGAGCCTGCAAACAAATTTACTTGGTGCATTGAACACGAAAATTCTGTTGTGTACTGAAAATAATGCCAAGGGTAGGGACTAGGGAGATGGGAAAGAGTGGCAGCAGTAAGGAGTCCTGAGGAAGGCCTTTGATGCGATCTTATGTCCCTCCTGGGCTTGCTCCAGCTTTTGTTTGCTTTTGTGGTAACTTCAGGGTGGGGAAAGTTACTGATCTAAGAGGAGAAGGAAGGAAGGAAGGAAGGGAAAGATGGAGAAACTCAGGGATGAGACTGCACAGAGGACAGCCTATATCTCCTGATGTAGGTAGAGCCACAGTTGAACAAGTATTTGTACTGCTGTGTTGATGCTGGTCAGGGAACTGTGTTGATACCTGCTTCCATCCTCCATTTCCTCCTTGTATATCCCAGACCCTTCTCCTTCAGCTATTTGATGTAACCCAAGTCCCTCCCTGAGTCTTAGATTAAGTATCATTAAGCTGGTTTTTAGGCCATAGCACAGCATCAATGAAAAGAGATTTAATTCCGCAATCTAAGCATTTAATTCAGTAATCCATTGTTGTTTGTTTGTTTGTTTATTAGTGTGGAGTTCTCGTATTGAAAATTGTCTCCTATGATTATAAATAGAATGTGATGACTCTTATGAGGAATGTATAAAAATGATGTACAATTTAATACAGAATTTATTCTTTCATACTTGAAATAAAATACATTCTGATAGTTTTATTATCTTCATTAATTACCACTTAAAGGTGGAAAGTACAAATTATGTGATGTAGGTATGGATTAGATAGAAACAGCTTTTTACTCATGGATGGAAGATAGACTTGCTTGTTTAATCAGTTATGTACGATATTTTCTTATTCAGATACCATTAGATTATAAAATACACCATCTGGTTTTTTTTTTTTAATTTTATTTATTAATTTTTTGGCTGCATTGGGTCTTAGTTGCGGCACACAGGATCTTTGTTGCAGCATGCGGGCTCTTTGTTGCAGCGCATGGGCTTCTCTTTAGTTGTGGCACCCAGGCTCCAGAGCACATGGGCTCAGTACTTGCAGCATGTGGGCTTAGTTGCCCTGCAGCATGTGGGATCTTAGTTCCCCGACCAGGGATCGAACCCGCGTCCCCTGCATTGGAAGGCGGATTCTTAACCACTGGACCACCAGGGAAGTCCCCACCATCTGTTTAATAACCAAACTCTTCAGGAAAAAAGGAACACTATTATACCAATTATAGTGATTATAAAATACATCGTGATTAGAAATGTTACAATGTGAAGATGTATATCTTAGAATTGAGGAAATACAGTAATTTTATTGCCAGTGAGGAACATAGTGTTTCCCTTTGGACCTTGCTAGACTTTTAATCTGTTATTAATGGGGAATTACATAGCCTGAAGCTATTGGACTTCAGGCTTTAATAAGCCAACAGTTATGAGCAACCCCAATGTTCAAATCAAAGGCGCAGTCTCTGTTCTTTATTATTCAATCATGAGGGCACAGTGTGAGGAGGGAGAATAAATTAAAATTGTATATTCACAGAAAACACAAACACATACGTGATCAGCATCATTGAAAAGAAATATACATTAAGTGCTGAATATGGTGTGTCCCATGAATTGGAGATAAATTACGTGCTAATTTCTTTTTCTCTTTTTTTTTTTACATTAAGCACAATACAGCAATTTATAAAGATGCTTAAAATGAATACAAAGGGAAATAAAGATCACAGAATTACACATTGTACAGCAGTGTGTCACATATAAGATGGTGTAAATGAATACACCAGTATGATGTTTAACTAAAGATAAAACGGCACCCATTGATTTGCTGCTTCTACACAACCCAAAGCGTTCATACAGATTGAAAGGGTGTCAATATGAGTAGTTGCAAAGTCAGTTCTTGCATGTGATTTTAGCTTTAAAGGTTTCAGAAAACAGATCTGCGATATCAGTTTTCATTTTTGTCAGCGGTAATGTCAAGGATATTCAGAACAAGAAAAATGCAATAATACAGGACAATCTAGATCTGTGACTGGCCTCTGTTGCAGGATTGTACAAGGTTATGTGCAAAAACAAAGTCTGTCCAAAAGTCCACACTCTTGCAGTTTCAGCCTTTAGTTTGATTATCTAGATATAACGTTTATTACACAGCAAGGGCAGCATGAAAAGAAGAAACAAATTTATGATGGGTGAGCAATAACAGTATCATAAGCATCACTTGACTAGGAGGTCTGAAAGACTGTAGCTAAATTTTTGATTCAGTAGAACGTTATGAGGTTGGAGTGGGACTAAAGTAGAACAGTATTTTAAATTTGTGGCTTGTAGAACACATAGGCAAGTAGGTGGTGCAGCCAACCAGTTTTAATTTCGAAAAGAGCTGAATAGGAACGCAGAGTATCTTGAATGAAGATTGAAACTATTTTGATCACCTGTTTGTAGCTGAAGAGTAATAAATAATGCCTTGTTGTTAAGGCTGACCTGTCTCAGGTCTTCTGTGGGGGCTGGAGGGGAAGGAGTCCTCGCTGGGAGGTGGAGACTTGGGTCCCTGTCACATCTTTATTGTCTAGCCAAGGTGAGAACCTGGGAAAGTTATTGTATTTTTAGCCTCCTCATTTGTTCTTCCCCACATCACACTTTTTTAAAAAAAATATTTATTTATTCGGCTGCGATGGGTCTTAGTTGCGGCACGTGGGGTCTTAGTTGCGGCACGGGGGCTCTTGGTTGCAGTGCGCGGGTTTCTTTCTTGTGGCACGCGGGCTTAGTTGCCCCGCGGCATGTGGGATCTTAGTTCCCCAGACAGAGATTGAACCCTGCATTGGACGGCGGATTCTTAACCACTGGACCACCAGGGAAGTCCCCACATCACACTTTTTTTAAGGGATCAGATTAGATCTATAAAGGTGCTCCACAAACATTGGATATTAAAAGCAGGTTGATACAACTCTATCTGGATGTGAAAAGGTGAGAGATTTGGATACTCTGGAGCTGCACTGTCCAATATGGTAGCCACATATGGTTATTAATCATTTGAAAATTGGTTGGTCCAAACTTTGATGTGCTGAAGTGTAAGTGTAAAAGATGTACTAGATTTCATAAGCTGTGTATGAAAGAGTGTATAGTATCTAATTAATTATTTTCTGTTGATACATGTTACAAGGATAATATTTTTGATGTATTAGGTTAAATCACTTATTATTTTTTTTTTACTTTTTAAAGTGTAGCTGTTAGAAAATTTAGAATTACATAAGTAGCTTCCTAAAAAAAAAATATGAAAGGCTTGTATTGAAAATGGTTGGCCACCAGGGTGCGCTGTGCACCTGCCAGCTCTGCCTTTTGAGGTTGTGCCGGTCAGGGAGGAGGAGACACTTTTTCAGTGGAGCCTGAATAGCCACCTAAAGTTGTGTGTTTCTCCTGTCAGCAGTTGTTGGAGGTTGTTGTACTCTTTTCTCTTTTCTCGAAACCTTATAGATAGAGCTAGGCCTACAGTTTAAAGTCTTCCTAGTTTTAGCTACTACTTCTATTGAATTAGAAAAAAATTTAAATTAGGTTTATTGAGGAATAATTTACATAAAATAAAATGCACTTATTTTAAGTGTCCAATTTGATGAGTTTTGACAAATAGGTAGACCCATGTAATCACCACTGTAATCAAAATACAGAACCATTTACATTAGGCCAAGAAGTCCATCCATACTCCTTTGCAGTCAATCACTTTCCCTCCCACTGGTCTGCTTTCTGTCACAGATTAGAGCTGTTTTTTCCTAGAATCTCAAACAAATGGAATCATATAGTATGACCCTTCTGTGTCTGGTTTCTTTCACTTAGCATAATGTTTTGAGGTTCATCTATATTTTGATACCAATAGTTAGCTCCTGTTTATTGCTGAGTTATTTCATTGTATGGGTAAGCCACAGTGTGTTTATCCATTCACCTCTTGGTAGACAGTCGAGCAATTTTTAGTTTTTGGCTGTTATGAATAAAGCTGCTTGGAACATTCATGTGTAAGTCTTTGTGTGAACGTATGTTTTTAATTCTCAGGGGTAAATGCCGAGGAATGGAAGGGCTAGGTTGTGTGGTAAGTGTATTTTCAACTTGAGAAACTGCCAAAGTGTTTTCCAAAGTGGTTGTACTATTTCACATTCCCACCATCAGTGTATGAGAGCACCAGCTGCTCTGCATCCTTGCCAGTGCTTGGTAAAATTTTTTTGCTATTCTGGTGAGTTGTGTGTAGTGGTTTCTCATCGTGGTTTTACTATTTTTTGATGATTAATTTTTTTAAAAATCCATTTTATTGAGATATAACTTATACACAGAAAATTTTTAATTGTACGGTTTGCTGAGATTTGAAAAATATATACACACAACCATTACAGTCAAGATACATTTCATTACCCTAGAAAGTTCCATCCTGCCCCTTTGCAGTTAATTCCCCATCCTCTCTGGCCCTAAAGAGTCATTGATCTGCTTTCTGTGGCTACAGGTAGTTTGCCTTTTCTAGAATTTCATGTGACTGGAATCCTACAGTATGTACTCTTTTGTATCTGGCCTCTTTTGCTCAGCAGTTGAGATATATCTATGTAGTTGCATGTGTCAGTACTTCCTTTTTGTTTCTGATTAGAATTTTATTAAATGCATATAGCATAATTTTTCTTTTTAATCTGTTTACCTGTTGACAGACATTTGGGTTGTTTCCAGTTTAGGGTTATTACAGATAAAACTGCTATGAACACTTTTTTATTTATATACATATCTATCTATCTATCTATCTATCTATATATATATATATACACACACACACACACACACACACATGTTTTTGGGTGGACATATGTTTTTGTTTCTCATAGGTAACTACATAGGAGTGGAACTGATAGCTCATATGGTAAATATGTTTATTATAAGAAACTAGCAAACTGTTTTCTATGGTTGTACCATTTTACATTTCTACCAGCAATGTATGAAAGTTCTAATTGTTCCAGATCCTTGTCAACAATTAGTATTGTCAGTCTTTTAAATTTTATCTATTCTAATGGGTGTGTACTAGTAGTTCATTCTGATTTTAATTGGTATTTCCCTTTTGACTACTGTTGTTGAGGATCTTTTTATGTGCTTACAGACACTTTTGTGAAGTGTCTGTACAAATCTTTTGTCCATTTTTATGTTGGGTTGTTTATCTTCTTCTTAAGTTGTAATTCCATATTCTGAATACAAGCCTTTTTTCAGATATTTGTTTTGTGAATATGTTCTCTGAGTCTGTAACTTGGCTTTTCATTTTCTTAACAATGTTTTCAAAGAGCAGAAGTTTTAATTTGTTGAAGTCCAGTTTATTAAGTTTTTCTTTGATGGTTTGAGTATTTTGTGTCCTAATTAAGGACTGTCTGCCTACCCCAAAGTGGCAAAGCTTTTCTCCTATGATTTTTTTTTTCTAGAAGTTTTTTAGTGTTAGCTTCTACAGTAAGGTCTCTCATTAATTTTGATTTAATTTTTGTGTATGGTGTGAGATCAGGACGGAGGGTCATTTTTTCCCAAATGGATATACAGTTGTTCTAACATCATTTATTGAAAAACCTTTCCTTTGTTTGACTCACCTAGACACCTTTGAAAATCAATTGACCATACAACATGGGTCTAAAATTTTGGACTTTATTCTATTCCTTTCATCTATATGTCTGTCTTCATGCTAGTACAACACTGTCTTGGCTTTGTAGTTATTCTGAAATCAAGTACTCTACCAAGTTCTCTAAGTCTTCAGGTTTTATTCCTTTCTCAAATTGTTTTGCCTATTCTAAATCCTATTGAGAAACAGAGTTGGCAGTTGATGTTTTAGATTATAATTTAGAATCAGAGTAGAAAGATCTGGTTTTGAATCCTGATGTGTTAGAGGGGCTTTTGCCTACTAGGCTGAATCAACAATAGCAGTCATTCCCTGTTATTGATGTTGTCAGTGCATCCTGAGGTATAGATGCGTGTCCTCCATTTCTGCACAGTAAATTGTCTCCAAATATGTGTTTCACAAGAAGCAGCCTATTGACCATATATAGACATTGTAAAATCTTGAACAAAAAGATGTTATCCCCCCAGCAATCTGTTGTGTATAGTCTGTTGAATGAATCAGAATTAATTTTTTGTTCTAAGTAGTTTCTTTTGTATTCCACCAGAATATTGAGCTCAATGATGATACTGTTCTAAATGAGATAAAGTTAGCAGATTGTGAACAGTCTCAGATGCCTGACCTGTGTGCTGAAGAGCTTGCTGTTATCCTTGGAATCTGGTGAGTTGATGACTTACTTGGCTACCTTAAACTTCTGGCATATTGGTTCTCTTGTGTTGGGGAAATCTTTGTTCGAGCAGGCCCCCAGAGTTGTGGATGAATAGAGAATCTTGTCATGGCTTATGAAGATGAAGAATACTTGGGCAGCCAATTAGAGTTAGAAATGAGGAATCTCAGGAATCTCCTGTAAGTTGGTATACTTATCCTTCTCTTTTCTTCATAAACAAAATTTCTTTGGTTAACCTTGGCTAGGAATAGACTCTTAATGAAGTATTTAGGATAGGTGACTGTTTTGACCTTTGAGGATATTTACGTTCAGAGTATGGAATTATTTTTTTTTTTTATTTTATTTTTTAAAGACTTTTTGATGTGGACCATTTTTAAAATCTTTATCAAATTTGTTACAATATTGCTTCTGTTTTATGTTTTGTCTTTTTGGCCCCGAGGCATGTGGGATCTTCACTTCCCGACCAGAGATCAAACCCGCACCCCCTGCATTGGAAGGTGAAGTCTTAACCACTAGACCTCTAGGGAAGTCCCTAGAATTTTTTTTTAATACAAGAGAACCTTATGTGTGGTAGAAATAGTTTTTCATTTTATTTTATTTTTCTATTTTGAAATAATTTCAAATTTGGAAAAAAGTGGCAAGGGCAAGGCATTGGAAATAACTTTTTTGAGAATAATTTTCCGACATGATATTCTATCACCCCTGAATACTTTAGTGTGTGTTTTCAACAAACAAGGGAGCTTTTGTGCATAGCCATAATACAGCTATCAAAATCAGGAAATTTAACATTCATACTTTACTGTCACTTCCTACTCAGACCCCATTCAAGTTTTGCCAGGTGTCCCAATAATCTCCTTTATAGTACAGGATCCAGTCTAGAACATATGTGTTACATTTAGTTGTCATGTCCCTTTAGTTTCTATCAATCTGGAATAGTTCTTCATTTTTGCTTGACTTTCATGATCTTGACACCTAAAATTTATAAGCCAGTTATTCTGTAGGCTTACTCTCAGTTTGAATTTGTCTGATTTAAAAAAAAAAAAGGATTAGTTTCACATTTTGTATCATTATCAGGGGTATCAGAAAATGGAGGTTTTGTGGTTCTTATTGCATCCCAGCAGGTAGAAAACAATTTTGATTTGTTCCTCTACTGGCCATGTTATTTTGATCACATGATTAAAGTGGGGTCTGCCAGGCTTCTCCAATGTAAAGTTATTCTTTTTTAACTTTTGTTATTAACATGGTCTTTTAGAGTATATAAATATCCCATTTCTCATCTGGAGATTTAGTAATGTTCAAAATAGGCTATTTCACAAAGTTATAATATTGAGACTGGTTAAATTAGTAATAGGCAATTTAATAAAGGGAGCATTTATAAAAAAATTTGTGTTTTAGCTCAGTAGAACTTATCCTTCTGTGTTCACCTCATAGCATTTTATCTCCTTTACACTAACAGTAGGTTTTCATTTATACAAAAGTTAAATTCAGTTCTACAGTCCCCTTTTGTTTGATTAAAAAGAATCACACATGCAGAGTTCTGTTTCTAATCCAAATCAGTTGTCTTATCACATTATTTTATTCCAGTGACAGAATTTATGCTTACTGCCAAAGAATTATTTGTTCAATTCATAATGATACTTAGTATATAAATAATATAAACAGCAATCATTTACAAGCAGTGTTATGTGCTAGGAATTATACCATGTACTTTCACACTATCCCTCATTAATGTTCTAACAGTCCTAGAGGTTGTTGTTTTTCTCCATTTTTCAGATGGGAAATCAGGGTTTACATGGCAAAATGACTCAATCAGAATTACAGTACAGCATTTAGGACTTGAATCCAGGTTTTACGGACCCAAATTCTGAGTTTTCCTTTATGCTATTTCTTAAAAGATTATTTTGGCAAACATAATTGTCAACTCAACAGGAAACTAAATCAAACCCAATATATATATTCCCAGACTTCTCTCAGTTGTGCTTTAGCTTTATTGAGTTTTGACTTCACAGTTGAGAGAGGACTGAAAAACCAAGAAAATACTTGTCTGCAAATACTTTTTTTCCCCCAAATATGATCTTGGTAGAATCTCAATATATAGAACAATTAAAAGTGCTGAATGGATTTCATGGGCAATTTAAATCTTCATTGTTTGGTAGAAACTACTTGATTATATTCTGAATCTTGGGGCATCTGATGCACTTTATAAACCCCTGGGTTGGAACATCCGTGAATTGATGATTTGCATGTGGGGGTCGTGATTTTATTATACTGTCGGATCTCTGTGTGACCTCCGTGGCCACTAACCCCTGTGAAGAGGTGATTTGGACATTGCGATGGGCTGGGTTCTTTGGAAAGGAGATATAGGGGGAATTCATATAGATGGTGGATTGACCAAACTGTGGGGCCAGCTTCATGCTCCTTTTCTTCAACTCCTTTGCTTCACTGGCCTCCTGCTTGAATTTGATTTTACCTGGAGGCCACGTGTCTCATACATCAATGTACCTGATTGCTTTTATGTAAAGTAACTGTGGGAGAAATTCCTTAAAATACAGCAATCCTTCAGTAATTCAGACAACTGGAGTGAGAAGGGTAATTGCTTTTGAATTAGTAGTCTGATTTTCAGATATGCAGAGTAATATATTCTAAGCCTAAGTTAGTAAGTTACAGTGAAGAGTGGTGGCCTGATTCAGTTACTGTACCATAATTACTTGTAATGAGCCTGTAGCATTTCAACTTTATCTATATACTTTATGCAGTGAAGTTAAGATTGGAATTTTGTATGTGAGGGATGAATTTTCATCCATTTTGGTTGAGGTTCTTATTTTAGAATGACTTTTGTTTTTTTGTTCACTTATCAGAGTCATAGTATTAGAACCGAAAGGACCTTAGGGGTTATTTGGATCATCTTGCCAACTGATAACATAATCCCTTTGTGCAAACTAGAAATGTCTAAGTATGTATGTGTGTATTGTGTGTGTGTATGTTTTCAAATGAGGTAAATTTGAGACATAACATTGTATTAATTTCAGGTGTACAACATAAAATGATTTTATAATTCCTTCCTTCCATTCATTTATTTTTTTTTTTTACCAACAGTATGTTCATTTAACAATTATTATGTAAACATTTTATGCTCATTATAAAATCCTCCAACAGTATGGAAAATTATGAGGAAGTGGTACTATTTTGTGAGGTGGCATTTTCTTTTCATTCTTAATACAAGTAATATTTGCATACAAAATAACTTATGTAATATATAAATATAAGTTATATAATATAATAAACTGAACCCACCGCCCAATTTAAAAACTAGAAGATTGCAAATACCACCTGCTCAGTCTGTGTGCTTCTTTCCCATCTCATCTTCCTGCCTCTCTTTAAAAGGTAATCACTGTCCTGAATTTTGTCTTTTTCTTGCCTTTTCAAAAAATATATTTATTAACATCTTTTATATCTCTAAGTCAGTTGCTTCATTTTGTTTGTTTTCGCGCTTTATAAAAGCGCTATCTTACTGTATGTAGTTTTCTGTGATTTGCTTTTTTCTCTCACTAGTGTCTTTCTGTGCCTCATCCATGTTGTTATACATAGCTGAAATTTACTTTCCCGTATAACATTCCATTGGGTGAATATTTTACAATTTATTGGTTTCTTTTTTGGACATCTGGATTGTTAACAGATTTTTCCTATTACACACAATATTACTATGGATATTCGTGTGTATGATTCCTGGTACACCTGTTGAAGAATTTCTCTCAGCTCTATACCTAGGCTGGAATTACTGAGATTAGGATATATGAATGTTCACTTTACAAGATAATGCTAAATTGTTTTCCAAAATTATCCAATCAAATCATCTGCCTCTTTGACAACTTCTTAATTTTTGCCTGTCTCATGGTGATACTAAATTTTTTTTTTGTATGAGTTTGATAAATAGGAATTGTTGCTATATGCTTTTCATTTTCTTTGTGGAGTGACACAGATTGGATTTCATTTTTTTCTTATAAAATAAATTGTGTTGATATTTTGTGCACCAACCACATTTCATTTCTCAGCATTTTATTACTTTTTGTACTTATCTTTGGCACACTCATCTCTACATTTCTATATAATGCAGTAATATTAAAATATGTGCTTTCAAATATGTAGATATAATTTACTTGCTTTTTAAAAATTATATTTCATTCATTATGACATGCATTCTGGAATTAATTTGCTTTTTTTTTTTCAATGTAAAGCACAAATCTCCAAAAGAATAACCCAGTGCATAAGTTAACTGAAGAGGAGCTGCTGGCATTTACATCCGTGAGTAATGTCTTTTTCCTTTCCATTTCTTTTTTTTTTCTTTTTTTCCTTGTAAATTATTTTGCCTCTGGTATATTCTTGCCTCAGATTGCTCATGATGAAACACTGCCACCTAAGGAAATTGAGGGGAAAAAAGCTCATCATTTTAGTTTCCAAGCTGCATATATCTTGCTGCTGATTTAGACATAAGCATTCTTCTTTGCACTTGCTTAGATTTGGGGGCGGTGACCAAATATTTCTTGCTCTTTGTTTGATCCCAGGGCCTAGTCCAGTATCTCACATATAATAGGTGCTCAATAAATACTTGTTGAATGAATAAATGAAGTGACAGAGCAAGAGTTTGAACCTTTACTCCAAAGCCAGTATAGTGTGCAACTCTTTCGTCTCAGATTGAAGGTGATGCGACACGGATGTGATGAGAAAGAGGACTTCAGATAGCGAGGAGGAGAACCAGCAGAGGGAATGTGTTTTGGAGGCTGAGGCAGGAGGCAGTGTCAAGAGCCAGGGGTACTTGTCAGCGTTCAGCAGTGGAGAGCAGTCTGGAGGAAAGGCTGAGGCTTTGATGTTTTACGTTGCTTATCTCTATGACGGTTTCAGTGGAATAGCTGGGTAGTCACCTCACTACAAATAATTGAGGGAATGGGGTGTAAGAAAATAAAGTTGATAGATGAAGACCACAGAGAAGAATGGCAGTGAAAAGGAAAAATAGGGTAATCGATGTTTGAGGATTCATGATCAAAGAAGGCTTTTCTAGAAGAGGAAGGTCAGAGAGCAAGAGGTCAGTCAGGATCTTTTTAGCTTTATGGATAAGAAGAAGATACACACGTCTTTAATGAACACAAGTTGCTTAAGATACATCATTTTTTCAAAGACATTTTTATTATCATAGTTAGGGATCAAGTTAGAATTCTGGTGTTTTCTTCTTTTGTTATTTTTCAGATAAGGCAAAAATTAAGCACTTTTATCTGGTAGAAAGGAAAGCTAGCTTACTTTGTACTGTAAAATAAATTTTGCAAGTTACTATTTTCTACATACAGTTTTGGAACTGGTTGGATGTTAATCTTCTGAGTCCTCTGGGTGCCTGTTTTATTTTCTCACTTAAGTATTCTTAGAAATCTGCTGTTTTTCATTATAGAATATGAGTGTTTAGGTAACTATGTAGAATGTCCCTAATTAGTCATTACATATGCTATAGGGAATTTGACAAGTAAAGTGTTAAACATTTTTTAAAAGATATATTTTAAAAATTGTTACGTACCTCCCATTTATTCATTCAGCTAATATCAGTTGAATACTTAATATCTACCAGGCATTGTGCTGGTTATTGGAGATACAGCAGTAAACAGTCTTTTCCCTCTTGGAGTTTACATCAGTTTACACTCTTGTGAGGGAAATAACACAGTAGACAAAAAAATAAATAGATATTTAATAGAAGTGCTCAGTGTAAATATAAAACAGTATAAGGGAATAAGAATGGGTTGGGGATGGCTGTTTTATTTTATTTATTTATTTATTTATTTGTGGTACGTGGGCCTCTCACTGCTGTGGCCTCTCCCGTTGCGGAGCACAGGCTCCGGACGCGCAGAGCCTGTGGGATCTTCCCGGACCGGGGCATGAACCTGTGTCCCCTTCATCGGCAGGCGGACTCTCAACCACTGCGCCACCAGGGAAGCCTGGGGATGGCTGTTTTAGACAAGAAGGTGGGGGAAGATCTCAATGGGAAGGTGATGTTGAACATGGATCTTCCTGATGTGAGGCACAGGAAAGGACATGAAGGGTCTGGAATGATGGGGAGCTTGAGTCAGTGTAGGGAAGTACAGAGCTGGATGGGGACAGTCACCTAGTATCTAGATGATAAATGATGACCAGGATGCTTGTGTTTCTTCTGATGACTGAGCTAAACAGGATGCAGCATATGATAGGAAGTGTTCCTGCTGTCCTCTCATGGGGACAGTGGTCAGCAGTAACGCCTTCTTGGGATTGGCTTCATAAACAGATTATTGTGGAATGTAGATTATCTACAGTTATCCTGAAATGACATTAAAACACTCTATTTACATTCAAGCAGTTAACTTTTTTTTTAGTGTTTTTTGTGGGTGGGGTGTATTCTTTTCTTTAACCTTTTCTTATTTCTTTTCTGATTCTTTTCTCTTTCTCTCTCTCTCTTTCTTTCTTCTTTTCCTGTTCTTGTTCCTCTACACAGTGAGGTACTTCTGAAGTAATTAATTCTGGTAACCTGTGATGGTAGGTGACTCAGCCCTCCTAACTTGCAATGAAGGTCATAAACTCAGGTTTCATACTTTCCCCCCAGGGCTTTATAATACATAAGTTTTCTGCTCTCCTCCTCCAGCTCTCTTCCAAGTCAGCACTGACCTGAGGACTGATCTCTTTTTCGAGGAAAGCTGTTCAGTGACAGTGCTTTATAGTGCCAGGCCTAACTCTTCTAAAGAGATGAGTTTGTTAATGCCAAGTAAATGTTTAATTGGTAAGAAGTAAGGCAAGGAACTTATAGTGAGGAGGGCTTTGAGGAGCCCCAAGCATTCCATTTCTTATCCCAAAGGAAGCATACGGAATGCACCAGAAAAACCCAAATCAGCTCTTCCTTTTGTCATTCAGTCCTTCCTCTTATCCCTTCTTTGTGCATGATTCTGAAGTGGGTAATAAGGTGAATTAGAAGTGGCTCCTGGTTTCAATGAAGAATTTCACTAAAATTTATATCCTATATAACTGTATGTCCTGGACATAAATATCCTTTATTTATATCCTATATAACTCCAGAGGAGTGTTTGAGACAAGAGGGACCACTTTTAAGTGCTACCCTGCTTCTGAACTCTCTTTTAACAAGGATCATATTTGGGCTTACAGTATTGTAATTATTTATGTGTATGTCTTATCTTCCCCATAAGGCTATAAACTTCCAGTTTTAGGCACTGGTCTCTGTTCTTCTCTGGGTCTTCTACAAGGCCTACTGCAGTGCTTCAATGCTTTACTCACAGTTGTTGCTCAAGAAAAGTATGCAAAATGCAGGAATGAATGAAGTACACTAGAACCAGAAACAGGATTTATTTCTGTCCTGCAGCAAGGTGCTGCATTGCTCCACTTAGTTCCATAATATAGGTAGTACTACCACCCAGCGTACTACCTAGTGTATCCTTAGGATGACCACTTATTTCATCTTCCTCTTCAGTGAAATGAGGGAAGGAGTGATGTGTCCCTCCCTCGGCACTGAAAACTTGTTTTGAGGATCAAATTACAGAAGGTATGTGAAAATACTTCAGAGTGGGTAGATAGAGCCTGGTGCCCCTGTAGCATTCAGGAATGAGTCAGCTTATCTGGTTGCTGGTTTGTAGGAGCGTGCTACTGTTTTCAAGGAATAGGACTTCCTAACTGGATAAGGCCGGTTTGGAATTGGCTGTAGATGTGGAAGAGAAGGGAGTAGAGAGGAAAGAAGCAGCATCCTCTTCCTTTCTGAGCATACGTTTCCATGCTATGGCTGTGGCGTGGTGGCCGGGGTCTGGAGTTGTGAACTCTTGAGGCTGTGAGGTGTCTTCCTCTGTTGATAGAAGAGCAAGTCCTGTAGAAATCTCAGTCCCCTACCAGAGTATTGTGAGCACTTGGAGGGACAGGAATGACAGTTATTGAACATTTGATTTATACTTACTGAACAAATGAATGGCTTATTGGTCCTGAATTTTGTTCAGTTTTCATGTGCTATCCTAAAGTTTACTAAAATAATGGTGAAATCTCTTTTTTGGAAGAATTTTTGCCACGGTTTCCAGGTTGGTGTAGCATGTTGAAATATATGTGAGATACGTTGGGAAAAAGTTTTAATTCAGCAATGGCAGAAGATTTTCCCAAGAAGAATACTTTACCTTTTTAATATTGTTATTATGTAATGCTCTTCCTGAGATATTCTTTCCTCACATTTCAGGAAAACTGAATGAGTCATAGTAAAAATAACCCACATTGTTCTAGAGAGTCATTTATGTTGTGTCGGCTTGATAATTTAAAATTAGCTGTGTTGTCTACGTTATTTCCTTTCAGATGAGCCAAGTCAGTGACATTCAGTAATGCCTTTAATTTCCTTTCATTGTTGAAAATGGGAACAATTTAGTTAATTCATACAGGTGTTTCAGTTTTCATTGGCAAAAGTTCTGCTTAAGTGTGAATTGGTACTGGCAGCCTGCCTTCTCACTGTCTGCCTGAAGCCCCAAGGTCTCTGCAAATGAAAAATGGAAAAAGACCTTTGAAAGTTACACATTATATTGTATGTATTTTCTCTTTTTGCTATTAATTTTAAGGCTACTTAATAAATACTTAACTATGGAATTAAAATAGTTTGCTAACCATTTTTGAAGAGAAAAATTATACCTTTTTTTCTTCTAGGGCATACTTATTTCTTAATTTTAATTTTTTAAGATAGGCAATATAACTGTGAGATAGTCACGATACTTCGCATTACATGTTGACATGTCTATATTAAGCAGGATAACCCAGGATTTTGATTTTCTTTCTGGTTTGAATACTTGTGTCCCCAGATGTTACTCATGCATTTTAATTTAACAGGCATTCGGATCATGAGCCTTGTAGCTATATCTGGGTCATAACTTGGTAACTTTTAAAGAAGCAGGAGATGGTTATGTTTTGTTCCATTTGTGGGTTAACTGTTATTAAACAGAGGCTTAAAATATTTTCTTTTGATTGGAGTTGAACTAGGTTACTTGTATATATCTTACTTCAAGAATAGAGAAAGAATAATGAGTAATAGGATTTGTGGGATCTTACATGGCTCTTTTCTTACCATCATCTACTTTGGTAACTGCTAGATTTCTTTCTTCACAGTTAACCATGGCTTAAGGTTAATGCTTATTTGTGGGTCTATTTCTAGCCATGTTTGAGTAACTGGTACTGCATTTGAACTCTCATTGTAAACAGCCACAAATCTGGGGCAAAATAAATATATGAAACAGCAGTATATAAAAAGGATAGTAAGTTATGAT